TACCAAACCTGTTATTCAGGGGGTTTTGGTGGTTTTTTTTTTCCTTTTGTTTGTATCGTTTTGTTATGTTGCTATTAAAAGGTAAGATTCTTTTCTGGTACTAAACTCTAGCTGCTTAACACAGTAAAGGCTGTGTTTGGTGGCCCATGTGAAGGGTCATACAGAGTTCTCTGCCCCCTGGCACACAAGCCCTGCTCCACCCCACCCCCTTCTTGAAAGTCTCATTCATGAGGATGCCCAAGGGGTGAGCTGTGATGTAAAAGTCAAGATATAAATCCTTCCTTTTTAGAAGAAGGTAAGAAAAAAAAATTGCCTGAAAGGCCATTTTCTAGCCATTTCCAATTAGTTACAGAGCTATTTCAACAGGCTCTGGTAGCCTGAGGCAGTAGGACAAGGAAGTGAGCCCAAGCTGGTCAGGGGGATGGGGAGTGGAGGAAACAGTGACTTGACTGACCAAAGAGGGGCAGGGGGCTCTAGGCCAGCATCACAGACAGGGATGTTGGGGAAAGCTCTGCAGTTGCTGACTTGTATGTGGCACTTAGGAAAAGTAAACTCCCTTGGCAGTCACAGCTCTTTCTGTTCAGCCAGATCCCAGGTGCTGAGCACAGGGACTGGCCCTCCGGTGCTCAATGAATATGTGTTGACTGAAGGGTCAGCCAATAGCTTAGGAGTATTTGTATATAGATGTAAATGTTAGTTGTACTGTCATGTAAGACAGTACAACTTAAATCTTTTTTTGCAAGATTCAAGAATGAAATTTCACCATTCTTATGGGAATTCAAAGACATCATTTTCTTTCAACAGATTCACAAATTCATTCATACTTCCTTACTCCTTTTACCCAAAAAACCATCCAGTTCTGTTTTTGTTCTGTTTGTTTCTGGAACTGTGAAACCTCTGTCCCATCGTATGCAATGGTGCTCAACTGGGCCACGTTGCCTCTGAACCTTCAGGGATAGAATTGCCAACTGCCACATTCCCCACTGCCTGGAGGAATAGCCCCACTAAAACTGAGCCCTTTTGCTTCCTCAGCTGCCCATCAAAACTGTGATCTATAGAGAATGGGCCGAGGGTGGAGGTATATTTTTACATTAAAAGGCATTTAATGTAATTTTGTAAAACCTGGATGAATGCAGATGTGCCTATAACTTCCTGTTTTAATCTTTCCTGTTTCTATTTGGTCTTTTTTTTTTAAGATTTTTTTCTTATTTTTAGAGAGGGGAAGGAAGGGAGGAAGACAGGGAAAGAAACATCAGTTTGTGGTTTCTTCCCGCATGCCCCGCACTAGGGACTTGGCCAGCAACCCAGGCTTGTGCCCTGACTGGGAATCCAACTGGTGACTCTTTGGTTTGCAGGCCGGTGCTCAATCCACTGAGCCTCACCAGCTGGGGCACTGTTTGGTCTTTAATCTTACATATTCTTTCTCCCTTCATTACATGGAGTTCCTTCAGATGACTTCAATAGTGAAGTAAGAATTTTCATTCAGCTTGCAACTCCTCTAAACTAAGAAACTTTGAAATATTTCCTATCTTCTAGATGTAAGAGTCAAAACTTGGCATCAAATTAAATCTTGATTCACTAACCAATTTAAGACCTCATTTCCAGTGGGATTATGAACTCCTGATTTTCATACCTCTTGTATCTAGTTAGTTTTTCCTTATCTATCTAACAATAATCAAGTGTCAACCATGTGCCAGGCACTAAAGTAAATGCAAATATGAGGATTTTAAAGGTATGGATGGTGGTCTATGAGCCTTCCTCTTATTGGACTTAATGTCTGCTTTGATAAATTAAAGATACTGTTCAGAAAACTATACTGGCGGTGTTTAATTACATTGAAATTAAGATAGAAAAAGGAAGACATTCCCAGAGAGGGCTTAGAAGCGAATGTGGTGTGTACAGGGACATCATCAGCCTGTGACCCTTTCTTCTATAGACCTGCACATGTGGACACCAAGTATCCACAGCAGAATTGGCAGCCAGCTATCAGGGGAAGACTGGTTAAATAAGTCAACACAACCATGTTACATAATATTAAGCCACTGGTAAAAAGAATGAGGAAATGCTGCAAAGCAGTAATATAGGGTAATTTCTAAGACCTATTAAATATAAAAGTAGAATGTTTAACAATGAATAGCATGCTGTAAAACTGTTTGTATTTTAAGGTAACATGTCTGGAAAGTTGTGTGTTTTTCTCAAGATTTCTTGCTGATCTGTGAAAGGAATTGGGGTTGAATGGAGGGGTTCAAAGGAATTTGGCTTTTCTATATGTGAGAATTTTACAACAAACGCAGTTGTGTATTTTGAATTTCTTACTGAAAATTTTAAATTTCAAAATAAAGAGATATAAACAATATAAACTCATACGGTAAGATTTATGTGTCACATTTCCTGTAGTATGTCGTAGCATCCATTTTTTTGTGGAGATCAGCTCCACTTCTGGGGAGATGTGTGAGTTGTCAAGGTCAGAGGCCCCCAGGAAGTGGTTTCCTTTGTGCATGAGGCTTTGTTTCATCTCAGAGTGCCTTGTTTTCATCCAGCAATATGATTTGCTCTCAGCCTCTTCCTGAAACACAATATGTGGTTCATGCTTTGAAAGACTTAGAGGAGAAAAATGGCTTTTAGCATCATAGTTACAAAGATAAGGCAGTTCTTTGGCTTTTAGCCTGTGCTTTGCCAGGAAGCTCAGAGGACCTAAGAAGGAAGTAATAACTTATTAAACTCAATATAGAAAACAAATTTTGGGAAACTGCAAATGTGCATCAGTAACAAAAACTTCTGGGAAAAAACTGCCAATTGAGAAAATGTTATTGGCTTCATAAAGTACTGGTAGAGATCTGTAGACAGTTTAAAGTTAAATTGCAAAGGCCAGAAAGGATTATTTATGTTTGAGAGTTTAGGGGGATTATGAAATGATTGTTACCCTAATGGTTTTAAAGTTTCATTTTTATTAAAGTATTAATCACTCATATGGCTTTAAGCATGAATATCCTAGGCAACCAAGGGTTAGATCTCTTAATTGAGTGGGCATACTATGAACTGGATCCTGTAAGCGTAGCACTGCATGAGATAGAGGTGTTATAACCTTCTGAATGTTTTCTCTAACCTTTTTGCCCAATACATTATAAATGTAGAATAATAGGAAATTATCAGCAGAGAGTACCTCCGTTTCCCTTACCAGGTTAATTAGAAACCCACCTGCTCTGACATGTGTTCAACAGACAGTGGCCTTTTATTGAAACATGATACTCAAATTACAAAATACATTTTGTAAGACAAGTCTAAAAATACATTAATTTCTACTCATGTAATAGTGAAGGGGGAAATCCTTCAACGTTTTCATAAAAATCTAGATAAAAGGTTATTATGATTCAGTTGAGAACTTTAAGAACAGCTTTTTACTACTGCATGAGAATTTTTAGAACTGTGTGTGTGGTTGCCAGCCTAGAAGATCACCCCCAGCGGTGCCTGCCTCCTGGTATTTCCACCCTTGTATTGTCCTCCCAAAGTGTATCAGCGTTGGTCCATGTGACCAATAGAACACAGCTGAAGTGACGGTATATCTCACTTCCCAGGATAGCTTCCATCTTGGGTTCTCTCTTTCTCAGAACACCTGCTGTGAGTGAAGTGTGTTATAAGCAGCCTCCATGGCCCACATGACAAGAGACTGCAGCCACAGTGGACAGCTAAGAAACCCTGAGCCAGCAGCAAACACCAAGCTAAGCCATTCCCATTCCTGACCCTCAGAAATTGTGTGAGATGATATTTGTTGTTAATTTTAAATATCTGTTGTTTAAAGCTAAGTTTGGGAGTGATTTGTTACATCTTCGAGAGTTCCACTAATGTGCCTGTCTTATCCCAAACCTGATCATTTCAGAACCTTTCAGATGGCCGTTTTAAATTTCTTTGCATTTGAAATATCTAACTAAAGCAGTCTTAAACACATTTATTGAGGTTCCCCAGTAGACCACTCTGGAACTTCCTGCATCCTCCAGAGGTAGGTGGAAATTTTGCATCAAATCCTAGAGGGTAGCCTCTGTGGCAGAATGGCCTCACACCCACAGCCCTACCCTTCTCTTTTCTATCCTCCCTGGTTTAAGAAAACTCCTTAGTATCTATGAGATTTCTGCAGGGGGAGGTAGATACTCTGGGCTAATACTGTTGACCACAGACCCTCGTCCCCAACCATACAGCTAGTGTTCAACACAGGGCAATAGGTAAACCAATTTTACAAACTGCCATTTCCCCATTTTTAGGCATGAGGAAAACAGGAAAGGATTCTGATTTTGTCATTTTTATTTCCTAGTTACCTAGAGTTCAGGGTTGACAGTAATTGACCTCACAATTATTTATTCTGTTTCCATGGAAGGTTCTATAGTTGCCCAGCAACAAAGAGATTCTAGATTCTCTTAATAAGTACTCCTTAAAAGTCTCAACTTGACTTCACAGAGTTTATTTAAACTCACTTCCAAGTATTTCCATCAATAGAAATAGCCCCCAGACTTTTGTTTTGTTGTAAGGAGATTTGTGACTCTACCAAGGTTTAAAAGTCATGTGTACTAAGCATCCTTATTTGGCCCGGATATACAAAACAACTAACAAAACATGTTCCCAAGAGACCTTTAAGAAATTTTTTAAAAAAGATCATTTGAAATACCATTCAAATAATCTTTCTTCCCTATGTAAATTAAACCTTCAATTTGTGGGTACCATGAAGAAAAAAATCAAACAAGTTACCGTCCTCAGCTTCTACAAAACAATATATTTCTAGGGCAAGAAAGAGGCAGCACTCGGTTTCAGTTCTATGCTACTTCGCTTTTTATTAACCACACTGCAGGTTTAAATGAGATTCGCACTGTTTTAGAGTCTAATTGAAACTGTTCATTGGTCTTTTCTTTAGGAAGAAAAACAGTTCAGTGCTTACAAGCTGCAAAAGTTCGGTAGGGTCATCTCAGCCATTAATCTCATTTCGTGGACTGCAGATTAGGGCCAGTGGCCACCTAGTCACAAGCTGTGTTGTCGGTGGTGAAATGGGCGTCGTTGTCAGTGGCGGCGGGAGTGGTGGGAGCGATGGTGGCACTGGTGGCAACGACGGTGGCGACAGCAGTGGTCTCCTCGGCGCCGCCGCCGTAATGGTAGACTACGTAGCGGCTCGCCTGCACGCTCTGCGCCACCACGTTGGCGCCGTGGCAGGCCATCAGCAACAAATTTCGAGGCTGCACGCGGTAAGCAAAGCGCATGAAAGCCATCGAGTAGAGAATGAGCGCTGTTGTCATGCGGCCGCTGATGATGTCCGGAGATGCCTTCATGTCCCGAAAGGCAGCTATTGGCAGGCCCCAGTTGGCCACCGGACCCCAAAAGTGAGTACTAGTCACATAATCCCGGAACTCCTTGGTCTTCATGTAGTCCGTTGCCTTCCGCCACAGTGCCGCTATCGCCGCCATGATCACGGAGCCGCGGGACTGCCAAAGGATGATCAGCCAGCTCACAATGAGGTGGAACGTGGAGAGGGTGCCATAGCAACCCGGATGTGACGTCAATGCACTGCCTCGCGCCTTAGCTTGACTGCTGTAAAGTGTACCAGACCTTACGTGTCGCTAGCTTGCGTGCACGGCAGTGCCGTAAAGTGCGTCTGACAGCACTGGCTGCAGTTGTATGTGCCTTCATTCTGGTGAGTACCTGCAATGTGTGGAATGCACAAGTGTGCATGAATGTCTGTGTGTACCCCTCTGGCAAAGGTGGAACCACCGGCTCATCATTTGTACCCATCATGCTGCGGCCACCATAAAGCTCTCAAGGCTCTGCTTACCACCAGAGAAGGTGCAGGTTCATCTGCCTGATGTAGGAAAACTTTGATTCTCCTGTATATAACTTTGATTCTCTAGTCTGTGGACAGACTAGAACAGAGGACACATCTATGGACTAGATGCTGACACAAAATTCTTTAACCACGTAAAGAATTTTAGGCCTTACACAATTTGCCAGAGTGTTATTTGCAGACATAGTGGCAGCTCACCCCTAAACATTCCAGCATCTGGCTCCTAACAAGGACATTCTCCTAACTTAACCACAATACTATAATCCAGTCACATATTTAACACTTAATACAGTGCTGATATCTAATATGCAGTGTATATTTAAGTTTTAGAATTTTACAGGGTTTTTTCCTTTCTTGTTGGAGTAGGAGAAATCCAGGATTCAATCAAGGTTCATATTGACATATCATCTCTTTTAGATTAATCTCCCTTAATCTGGAATAGTTTTGTAGTGTTCTTTGTCTTTAGTGACTTTGGTATTTTTGAGGAATACAAGTCAGTGGTTTTTCAGAATGTTCTTAATTTGGGTTTGTCTGTTTTCTCATAATTAGATTTATGTTAAACATTTTTTTGGTACAAATACTACACAGGTGATATTGTGTCCTTAATACATCACAGTGGCAGGCACTGTGTCATTTACTCCATCATTGGTGATATTAAGTTTGGTCATTTGGTTAAGGAGCCCTGGCTGGTGTAGCTCAGTGGATTGAGCGTGGGCCTATGAAGCAAAGGATTGTGGTTCTATTCCCAGTCAGGGCACATGCCTAGGTTGCAGGCCAGTTGCCAGTGGTTAAGGAGTTGTCTGCTATGTTCCTGCATTGCAAAGGCAGCTTTCCCTCTCTGTAATCAACAAATAAACCAGGGGGAGCCTCTTTGAGAGTGTATGGATATTCTGCTCCAACAGTCTTTCATCTAACACTTAATATCCATTGATGAAAATTCTTAATGACAGCCCTGGTTAGTGTGGCTTAGTGGATTGAGCACTGGACTGTGAACCAAAGGGTCACTGGTTTGATTCCCACTCAAGGCATATGCCTGGTTTACAGGCCAGGTCCGCAGTGGGGGGGCATTAGAGAGGCAACCACACATTGATGTTTCTCTCTCTCTCTCCCTCCCTTACCCTCTCTAAAAATAAATAAATAAAACCTTTAAAAAAGAATTCTTAATAACAAACGGATTATTATTTTCCCAGTGTTCTCTACCTTTTCCTAATAAAAATAATAATTGTTAAAAAGTAAGTGTACATTGAAATATTAATATTTTAAGTGCTGATTTATAAACAAGCCCATTGTACCTTTAAACGTTATTACATTCAGCCCTGGTCAGGTGACTCAGTTGGTTGGAGCGTCATCCAGACACCAAAAGGTGGCGAGTTCAATCCCCGGTCAGGCCACATACATAGGTTGCAGATTCAATCCTGGGTTGGGCACGTATGGGAGGCAACAAATTGATGTTTGTCTCTCACATTGATGTTTCTTTCTCTCTCCCTTTCTCTCTCTCTCAAATCAATTTTATAAAGAACATATCCTCTAGTGAGGATTACCAAAATGTTATTACATTCATTATGTTCATTTACATCCCAAATATTTCACAAATAAAACCTTAAAATAAAATATATAGTATAGCCATTGCTCAAAAGGAAAGCAGCATACTTTTTAGATAACCCTTCTAAAATGCTAAGCTTCCAAATATGGATGAGTGGTATACTGGTGTAAATCAGTTCAGTCTAAGTTTGAATTAATAAATCAGCAAGCATGAATTGAATGACATTGTAGGCTTACACCGCCAGATGCTCCGATGTCCTAAAAGAAATGTACATTACCATTCCTTGTCCACAGAAGGTTTTAGTACTTGTAGATCACAGGTGGCAAACACAAGGCCTACAGACTGAATCCAGCTCTCCACCTTGTTTTATCTGGCCTGCACCTTGTTTCTACCCAGCAGCAGCGCCGAGCTCTCGCTTAACTGTTAAGGAGTAGTTACATATAAACAGTCCTAAAATTATGTTTGGCCCTTTGAAGGCAATCACGAGGCTGATGTGGCCCCTGGTGAAAATCAGTTTGACACCCTTGTGTAGATCATCTCATTTGGGTTGTCAATTGGTTTCAATGATCTATTGCTGCATAACAAGTCATCCCAAATCTTAGTGGCTTAGAACAACAACAATTCCTTCTTTTACTCACAGATTTGCAATTTGGGCTGGACTCAATAAGGATAGCTCATCTGTTCCATGGACTGCCAGCTGGGCAGCTCAGCTTGAGGCTGGAAGATTCACTTTCAAAGTGACTCACTACACGGCTGGCAAGTTGATACTGGTTGTTGGCTGGGAGCTTAGCTGGGACTGTTGGTGGGCATGTGTCAGTTCCTCTCCAGAAGCTGCTTGTGCTTCCTCACAGTGTAGTGGCTAAACTCTAAGAACAACAAAACAAGATAATCAAACAGAAGCTATGTGGTAGACAGAATTCTAAGAGGGTCTCCAATGACCCTCTTAGAACTCAGTTTAGCCAACACCTTCATTTGGAGCTCATGAAACCCCAAGCATAGAACCCAGTCATGCTGTACCCAGAATTCTGACCTACAGACTATGAGCCAATTAAATTGGTATTGTTTGAAGCCACTAAATTTGTGGTAATCTGCTGGGCAGCAATAGGAAATTAATATAAGCTCTGTTGGTTTTTATGATCTAGCCTCAAGTCACATAACATCATGCATTTTCTCTAGTCACAAGCCTACCCAGATTCACTGAGAGGGAACATAGACTCACCATCAAAGGCAGAAGTGTCAAAGTCACACTTTAAGAAGAGCATTGTGGGGTGGGAAATATTGTGGCCACTTTTGGAAAATGCAGTTTACCATATTACTTAACTTGAATCACATAATTATAGAACATTGGAGTTGAAAGAATCTCATAGACTATCTGTCAAATGAGGATAATAGTGTTATGTACCTCCTAGCAGCATTGTGAGGTTTCAATATGTTAATCTCTGTTCAGTGCTGAGCATTGGGCCTGTTAATGTAAGTGCTGAGTGAATTTCAGCTATTATCATCCAATGCAACTGCCTTGTTTTATAAATAAGTCAGGAAGCCTTAAGAGATCATGTTATTTGCCATGGTTATGCAGTGAATTCATGGTAGACCAGGATTAAGGTTTCCTATCTCTCACATAAGTCCTGTGCACTGATCACTTGAACGTCTGATGTGTTTCTGTCCTTCTGATTATGTTGTAAGCTTCCTTAGGCCAGGGAAAGTAGCACCAAATGAAATATTCCATCTCCCCACAAGCTTTTCTGATATGTTGACTGGATGTGGCCCAAACTGAATAAGACAAGATCTGCCTTCTCAGAGGGGCATTTTACAGCTAGAGAAATGGAGGTATAGACAATGTGTAAGTGGCTTTAGTGGCAAATTCCAAACTGGTAGATGCCGGCTAAAAGTAGCTTTCTGTAAGTTTTGCGCCTGGTAGATATCTGTTGGTTGTTAGAGTAGCAATAAATGGCCCAAACATATGGTAAGACATTGTAATGGAACTTAACCAGCACTTGAAGAGAGACATGAGAAAGATACAGGGCAAGAAATGAGCAGAGCTGTAGAGAATTGAATGACTGAAGCAAAGAATGACAAAACAGTTTTGAGGTTAGAGAATATCAGTAGTGCTAACCTGTGACTACCCTTCATTGCAGGTAAATTAGGTTTTGGGTTTTTTTTTTGGTTTGTCTTCTTTTTAAAGATTTTGTTTATTTATTTGTTTATTTATTTTTAGAGAGAGGGGAAGGGAAGGAGAAAAGGAAAGAAACATCAATGTGTGATTGCCTCTCACATGCCCCCTACTAGGGAGCTGACCCACATCCCAGGCATGTGCCCTGACTGGGAATCGAACTGGTGACCCTTTGGTTTACAGGCTGGTACACAATGCAGTGAGCCACACCAGCCAGGGCTTTTCCAGGTAAATTAGTACTGCTGTATATTTCACTGTGTTTTAAAAGATGAGACTAAACATCTTTAAAAGATGAGAGCTAAAGGTTTATCAATACTTTAATATTTCTTTTAATATTATTGGAAGTGGGATTTCTACTCTCTGTGCTGCCTCTTTAACATAAGGCTGTCAGAGCCGACTGTGTGACTCAACCCAAAGACACTACCATGAACATGGTCAACAAGTTCACCATCATCTTTCTTTTTTTTTTAATGTATCATATTGATTATGCCATTACAGTTGTCCTATTTCCCCCCTTCATTGCCCTCCACTCTGCACAGCCCCTCCCCCACCATTCCATTTAGTTTATGACCACGTGTCTCAAGTTCTTTAGAGTCTATATTTCCCCTACTATTCTTGCCCTCCCCCCTATCTATTTTCTACCTACCATCTATGCTACTTATTTTCTGTACCTTCTCCCCCCTTCTCCTCCTCCCACTCCCCTGTTGCTAACCCTCCATGTGATCTTCATTTCTATGGTTCTGCTCCTGATCTAGCTGTCCTCTTAATTTGCTTTTGTTTTAGGTGTAGTTCTTAGTAACTGTGAGTTTGCTGTCCTTTCACTGTTCATCTTTTTTCTCTTCTTTTTCTTAGATAAGTCCCTTTAACATTTCATAGAATAAGGGCTTGGTGATGATGAACTCCTTGAATTTGGTCTTATGTGAGAAGCACTTTATCTGTCCTTCCATTCTAAATGAAAGTTTTGCTAGATAGAGCAATGTTGGATGTAGGTCTTTGGATTTCATGACTTG